TTCGTTTGGTTCTCCACTTCTGTGCTTGTTGTCTTCCTTTGCTTCTGTGCCCGTCTGCTTTTTTTTTTGCTTCTTTGCTTTTCTGATTTTGCTTGCGCGTTTTGCCTTTCTATTTTTTCTGCTTTCTCTGCGATTTTGGCTTCTATTCTTGTTTGCCTTTCTGGCTTCCTTGCTCGGCTGCTTCTCTTTTTTTCGCTTCTCCGCTTTTCCGCTACTGTCTTTTTCGTTTTTCTTGCCTGTTTAGCTTTCTGCGTTTCTTCTTCTTGATTCTCGGCTTGTCTACCTTTTTGCTTGCCTGTATATTGATCTTAGTCATGCTGGCTTTGCTTTTTATTATCCTCTTCATTATACTGATTATTGTCCTTTTTCATCTTCGTCATTTTACATTCACTTGTTTTTGCTTAACGTGTCATGGAAAGACTAGATTGGAGACCAGCATGGGATCGAACGCTGAGCCATTTGGATTTTATTTCGTATATTGGTTTATTAAATGTGTCTAGGCCTTGCAGCCGTTTGTAGAGCTTCTAGCTAGTTTCTAGCCGTGGATTTTTGAAATTGGTGGAAACCTAGCGCCTGGCACTTTGGAGAGGAGGCTTTAGCTAGGGTTCGGGCGGGGAAGAAATCGTATTATGTTTATCACCTGTAGAATTGGGTAGCGAGTGGATAAACTTTAGGAAATTGCCCTGGTTGTGGACGTGGAAGAATTGATCGGGGCTGAGAGCCGTAGCTAGAGATATATATTTGTTTCTGACTAGTCTGCTGTCCCACTTCGCAGACCTATCCGTCATCGTGCATAATGACGCGTGTTATTTGCATTTTATGGCGCAGTCCCAGAAAGCGGATTCTATGATTGCACGGAGAGTAGCGCAATTGCGCTACATAGTAGACGCTTTCCACCACAATGATTACGTTGGGGAGTGGTGCAAACGCAACCTCTCCCTACAACTCCAGGCGAATAAAGATGCCCTATCCAGATTCACCATTTGAATCGCGGAAGTGGTCAATGCTTCGTTTTCTCCATTGAAGCACGTTGGTCTGCAAGGCCAACGGGTAAAGACACCCTATGCCAACGGCATACTTAGGCTCGAGATATGGAGGTCCCGGCCAGGCACACGGCAATCGCCAAGCATCGCTAGCAGAGATGATGTATAGTATCTGCAAGTGCAGATGCAAGGTTGCAGGGGATGGCAGTCGGCGTGTATAGTACCTGATGCCGGGTTGGCGCAGTACTTTGCCAAGCAGGCGCATGAGAAGATTATGCATCGACGCTTCCGCGCCCAGATCCATAGAGGTGAGCGGGTCCTGTCAGTTGTAGCGATGAAGCCACGGACATTCTTGTGCCATTGAAGTTGTGGCTGCTGCTCATTCTTGTGCCATTGAAGTTGTGGCTGCTGCTCGCACGGCTGGATTCCTGTTCGCGATCAGCGCCCGGCTGTCAGGCGTAACTCTTTAAATCGATTGAATATTAATGCGGCGATACATTCAATTGGGTAATATCGTGATGGAGAAAACATTTGGAAATTATATACTTAATTTGGGTATGTATTACAATGAAAAAATGTTTGGTATTGGACGACTCGCTCTAGTGAATAATAGTTTGTAGATTTAGATGGCGAGGGGCTTCGTTTGGTAGGCTTGGGAGAGGGCGCCTTGGGATATTTGGAAAGGGTCTGAGATAGAATCGAAAATATTTGTGTATATTTCTAGAATAGGTTGTAGGGTTTGTATAATTGTTAGAAAGTGATGTTAAATTTTAGTTGTATGATTTTATAAATGTGCTAATAAATAGTATCGATATATTTATGTACTTTTATTTTTTTTTAGAACTAGTATATTTTATAAATATTAATAGATTGTCGTGAGATTTTATATTCCGTGTATGTTATTTTTAATTATATAGTTTTGTTTTTATTTTATAACATGTTGTATTATTGGTGATTTATTGAATATATATGGAAGTAATAATCTATAGGTCGGAAATATATTTCGAAGCGGTATTTTTCAATATTTTTTATTTTGTAATTTTATGATTTTTGGGTTTTGGATACGTTATATCGATATGGCATGAATTCGGAATTTTTGTGATATTTATTTTGGTTATTTTGGGTGATTGATGCGGATCGGGCTTTAGATTATGTGTTTGTTATAATTCGAATTTTATCGATGTTATCGTATAGAATGGATTTTATGTTATTTGGGTTTATATTTATTTTATTTTTATATATTTTTAATTTAAAGATTGTATGGAATATTTAGTTATTTTCGATAAAATATTTAAAAATTTTATGATTTAATTACGAAAGCTATTTGGAATTATTCTTGCGATCGCAAGGTGTTTTTTCGACCGGATGCAAATCTTAACCTCTGATTTTTCAGGTCGAAGATTCTCCCCCCCCCTTTCTCCTCCTTCTCCTTGTTTTCTTCCCACTTTCTCTCCTTCCCTCCTCCCTCTTCGTAAGTTCGATTCCGTTTTGTCGTCGCTCTTTGGCATGCGGTTAGCGTTGCGTATCTTGCGATCGCACTGTTTTATTGTCTCACTATTTCATTGTTTCGCTTTCGTCTCTTTTATCTCTTTCATCGCTTGTATCTCTCTTATTTCTTTCTTATCTCTTTTTTATTTTTCATTTCTTTCTCATCTCTTTCTTATCTCTTTCTCATCTTTTTCTTATTTCTTTCTTATCTCTTTCTTATCTTTTTCTTATCTCTTTCTTATTTCTTTCTTATCTCTTTTTTATTTTTCTTATCTTTTTCTTATCTCTTTTATTTCTTTCTTATCTTTCTTATCTTTTTCTTCTTTCTTTTTTCTCGCAGGAGGATCCGGGCAAAGAGCCGCATATAAAGGACTCTTTATCCCTGCTTCCAAAAAGAACGTCGTATTTTTTCTTATTTCGTTACCTTCTACTTTCCCATTCTGGAGCGCTAGCTTTCGGCCCCTCTTTTTGCCTTAAGTTAATATATTGAAATAGGATTTAAATTGAATTAATAATACGTTATTATTTTTTAATTTAATTTTTTTATAGGTAAATGAATTTATATTTAAATTGGATTGAAAATAACATTAAAGAAAAATTAATGAATGTAATATTAATGGTAATTCGATTGTGGTTATATTGAAGGTAAAAAATTACGATAATTTATATATTTTTTTAATCGAATTTTGTATATTTTTATAATATTATACATAATTTTTATAAAATTATAATTGGAATATTTTTTTTTATATTAATGTTTTTTATTTTCTTTTTATATATTTTTGTATTGTCATTGATTCGAATTTTATAAAATTAATTTCATTAATTTGCATAGAAATTTTGCACTTGAATTATTAGGATTCTAATCGGTCCGATATTGGATTTATATTTAAGGATGGATATTTTAATTTTAGAATAAAGGCGAAATGTAAGCGGCATATAGAATTGAAAAAAAGAATCGTTATTGAGGCTCTAGTATGCTAGGCAAATTGCAATTCCGATTCCATATTTAAGGTAAATACATCTTAATTTCTTATAAATCGCCTTCGAATACATTTTATTCGAATTAAGAGCGACGAAAATTACTAGACCGCAAAAAAATACTAAGATATTCCATAAAGAATAGAAACCGGGTCATGCAGGTTATATTCCTGTTGGGATCAATAATAATCACACTTACCACCAATAATTTCAATTTAATTTCAAACAATAACAATGAAATGAATGAATGGACCTATATACTATCCATCTTCCTCAGCCTTTCTTTATCCTAGGAACCATTATGTGGCTATAGAAGCAAAAGATCTTCCTAACGGTTCCTCCGACAAATAATAATATAAAAGATAATTAAACGATACGAATATTACGGAAAATATAAATATCAATACCACAGATGAGGAAATCCAGACAAAGAAAATAAATATCATAGATAATGAAATAAATATAACGTTCGATATTATTAAATAAGAAATGCGACTTCATCAGGCTATGTAAACATCAGACACCAAAAATTGCAACGAAAATATAAAAAATTTCAATAGAATTTAGAATTAATTATTAACGACAAAAAAAAACATTTATCATTTCAACGTGTTAAAACAAAAATACAAAGAATTATAAGACGAAAGCAATGGATTACAAAGGATCATTAATAATCGATATCAAAACGAGCTCTCCCAATAACCGTTGTAGATATTTACTTCCATATAGAAACCTCCTATGCAGAATACAAATCAATACATAAAATTCCAAAATATATCCCACGCATATATTGCGTTAATAATATAATCGAATATTTTTCGAAAGAGCCAAAACGATTCGATATTAATTCCAAAAATAAAAATAAATTACATTCGCAAAAAAAAATAAAAATAAACCTAAACCTTATAAATTAAATCATTTATAATAATAACCATCATTTATTTCCAATTTCCTATTTTCATTTATACCTTACATATCTATTTCAATCCCAATACTATCAATCCCTATCTCAACAATCTCCATTTAAAAACTCTAATCGAATATTCATATCCAAAAATATAACAAATATTATATTACAAAAACATTAGTTTAAATAATCCTATTTTATAAAAAAAATAATTAAAATATCAAATAATTATATTTAAATTTTATAAAAATCCGAAAATATCCGTAAATATATCCTTAATCGACATTTATAATTCTTTTACATTCAATTAAAAAAAAACAAAATTTATAAATAAAATATAAATTAATTTCCTAAAACAAAATATTTATTAAATTCGTATCCCCATTAATAAAAAAATCTAATTTTTATCATAAATAAATAAATCAATTCTTCCAAAAATAATTCGAAAATATATATTTTCTTATAAAATATATCTATTTAAAATATTTTAAAAAACAAATCCAAATTCCAAAAATTTAAAATAGATCGAAAATATAAATACGAAATTATATCAAAAATAGAAATGATATTCAATTCTTTAGATCAATTCCCAACCGAATATTTTAGGTTATTAATTCAATATGTAATATATGTATGGAAATGCCCCAGGTCGGACGATCAGGCTTGAGAGTGTATGCCGACGTATTTCGGCTTGAAGGCCTTAAGCCATGTTTTGGCTGCGCTAGAGGAAAACCACGCGCGTTCGAATCCTGTTTGCTTTGGATTCCACAGTGGCCGGCTGCAAGTCCCCTGGCGCAGGGCTGGCGCGACCCAAGGGACGATCCAAGGGTCAGACACGACCAAACAGGTTCGGGCGACAGAGACTTTGAATACAGAGCACCTGGCCGCTGAAGATGAAGCAGCAGCACATGAAGTGTTGACAGTTGCAGTTGGTGATACATTTGCCACTCCGCTCTCCGAAGTGTTGGCACAGCAGCATTTGCAAAAGCGGGACATCCCTCGTTTGGCTCAGGACAAAAGATTTGTTGGAGCTTTAGACAATGCTTGCAACCGGACCTGCGCTGGTTCTTTTTGGTTGGTATTTTACCTTCAAGCCCTTCAAGCAGCTCCCAAACCCATCCAAGACCTCGTGACCACGATTGAAGAAGATGAACTTTTTCGTTTTGGGAATGGTGGCGCGCAGAAGAGCAATGTGAGGTATAGGTTGCCAATGGCTTTGGGTTCCACCTTGGTCCTGGTTTGGGTATCGATAGTTCCTGTTCCTTCGTTGGGCCTCCTTCTTGGTCGTGATTTCCTTTCAGGGATTGGAGCAGTTCTTTCTTTCAGCCGGAAGAAACTTCGAGCCGACCTCGTGAACGGCGAAATGTTGGACCTCGGCCAACTGGCTGCAGGCCACTTCTCACTGCCGCTCCAGCCTTCGATGTGGCCACGTCCGGGATCCCAACGATGGCGTCGTTTGGGACGATGGCATTGTTGAGCTTCAGTTGACAAGTCTTGAACATTGGAAACGCAACTTCAGCTGAACATAAGTCATTTAGATGTTTTTCCTAGTTCACGTGCACCGCATGAGCACCTTGTCACTGAACATGGTTTGAAAGCTGCTACTTCTGCCGGGGATCAAGGGATGCTCAAGCTACGACATCTCCCCCGACTACATCCTCTTCGACGTCCCCTGATCGTGCAGGATCTTTGGATCAGCATGGAGCAGCAGGCGCACGAGCACCACGACCTGACGAAGTTCGAGTACACGAAGGTGGTGCTGCGACGGCGAAGACTCATTCTTCGCTTCCGCGAAAAGGCCGCTTGGCGCGGACATGGGTTGCTCTTATGGCTGTTGCCTCGGCCGCATCTGCGGTACGCTCCTTTTCCGTACCCAAGCATCAGCCACACCAAGCACTGGCAGGACCAAGCCGAGGCGATGTATTTGCAGAGGCCCAAGGCCCTGATGCATCACCATTGGCGCCGAGCTCGCATTCAAGATGTGCCAGTGTATACGACCAAGAACCTGTTGGAACTTGGTCAATTCCGCAATCGAGTTGGGCTGGACTTCGCCTTCATGGAGGACAACCTGCTCCAGGGCATGTTGGCGGCTCGCTCTGGGAAGGGCATCAAGGCTCAGCTCAAGAGAGAGGCCATTCAAGAGACAGCAACCTTCAACAGGCGCGCATCCATCCAGAGCGCAAGAAGACGCCTCAGGCTGCATTGATGCCAGGTGAACAGCGCCAATTGCGAGCGCTTCTGGGAAGCCTTCAGTGGCTGGTAGCTCAGGTCAGATTTGACATCCAGTTCCAGTTGTCAACCTTGCAAGGTGCCTCACAGATCATAGAGACGCTGATTCGCGCGAACGCCCTTGTGAAAAAGGCGAAACAGCATGCCTCGTTCTTCCTGAACTTCAAGCCGCTGGACCTTCGTGATGCAGGCATTTTAGTTGTCTCAGACGCTTCATTGGGCAATGTCACCAAAGAAGGCTGCAACCAGGGAGAGTCCATCAAGAAAGTCTGCAGCCAAGCTGCCTAATTACTTTGTCTTGATCGCGGACCGCGACCTCATGGCTGGCAGAGAAGAAAGCTTTGCAATCCTTGACGCGAGATCGCATAGACTCAACAGAGTCTGCCGCTCGACCTTTGCCGCAGAAATCCTCGGAATAGAGGAAGCGATGGACGCAGGGCAATACTGCCGTGGAGTGCTGAGAAGAGCTTTCGGGCATCCGCTCGATAGAAAGCCCTGTGACCTCAGCACCAACTCAGTGGCGATGACTGTTGTGACTGACGCAAAGGATGCCTACGACAAGCCCCGCTCTGAAACCCCAAGCTATGGTTCTCAGAAAAGCCTAGCCTTCAGCATCAGCTGGATTCGCTCAATGTTGGGCAGAAGCAACACTGCCATTAGGTGGACAGCCACCGAGAACATGCTGGTGGACTGCGGGACGACAGAGCTCGACCCAAGTCATTTGCACAAAATCCTCAACGACTGTCGCTGGTGTGTGCAGTTCTCCGCTCAGTACGTCAAACAGACGTCTAAAGGAAAGCCAAAGGCTGCAGCTCAGGGAGCCAGTGTATAGGTGAGAAGTGATTTGGGAACCCCTTGTGGAAGCTCCTCAGCCATGTACGGTCATGTGATGAAGCTCTCGGAAAATCCGGGGTGGCATTGAGTTGAGTGAAGAATTGGTAGCCCATGTTTGCAGTGAAGCTCGATCTTTTTGATCTTCAGAGCCTCGATTTGAAGCTCGCAAGTACCCGTACAGGTCAACCTTTGCTCGGTTCGACAGCAACCACAGTTGTGCTTGGCGTGTTTTGGAGGCCGACGAGAACGTCAGAGAGCTCCAGAACTCTCGCCGCATGATCGGCGCGACAGCGTCGAAGCTTGTGACACTCTTTGCAAGCCGCCCGAAACTGCAAATGCAACAAGAAAGTAGGATGAGCTGTAGAAACGCAGTTCATGCACCAGTGTCGGACGGTCAGGCTTGAGAGTGTATGCCGACGTGTTTCGGCTTGAAGGCCTTAAGCCATGTTTTGGCTGCGCTAGAGGAAAACCACGTGCGCTCGAATCCTGCTCGCTTTGGATTCCACAATATGTTTTCCCAAGATTCCAAATTTCTTCAATCAATTCGAATCATGATCTCGCGGAAGATCATCCACATGGAATTCCCCTGGCACAAATCTTGCAATATCTGTATTTGCAGCAAAGAATGCGCAAAAAACACAGCGGTTGAAATGCGACACCTTTGACAAGTTCAGCAGGATAGTATCACCGTGATGAAGTTGCCACTTGCCACCCTGAGAGGCGAAGATCTTGTCGCAAGACAGGCGGAATCAAGCAACACAACCCATTAAGCGCTACTGCGAGACTACGCTTTTTGGCCTCAGCCGCCTTGGCCATTCCAACCCTTTTAAACAACGTTAATAATAAATACAAAAAAAGGGAGAGAGAGGGAGAAAGAACAATTTCAAGAAATTGAGACATATCGAATTCAAGAAAAATGCAGCACGATCGAGAAACACAGCGAATTCAAGAAGAAAAAATAATTCATGTCTCTTCGATGTTCAAATAGCATTATTTAAAGTTTGCAACAGTCGGCTTCTCAAAGGGTTTCGATCCAAACAAAGCGAGCAAACAGTTGCACCTCCTCTCGTCGGGTGCTATCCTGGCCCTCCTGCAACATACACTTTAGAGTTCCATACCCGATCCATGCAGAGAAAAGCGAAAAGACAAAAACAAAAAAGAAACACCTTACAATATGTTTTGAACTAACTGTTTTTCTATATATACTAACACACACATCGATATTTGTGTGTCTTCAAAAAACGAAACACCTTATTGGATCTGTCTGTGCAGGCTAACTATTTTCTAAACCGAGTTCCAATCCATGCCGATCTTGAGAGGTCCTCCGGCGCGCCCTCCACCCGCAGTTGTAGCTTGCTCAAGTTCCTCCGAAACGAAAGAAAAAACCTACAAGTTCAGCATTTCTTTCTTCCTTTGCTGTCTTTCTATGCAATGAATGTATTACATGTCAAAGAATGTGTTTGACTCAAAAACTCGCCATAAGTTGTTCCAAATGGTTTTGCCTCAGGAAGAAGCGGCGTTCAGATGCCTCATCATCCACCTCCAGACAAGCTTTCTAGTTCGGAGCTCCACGCCCTCAGTAACTTCACACCAGTTTTGAGCGGAAGTTGCCTCAATCACGAGATGCTGTGGATCAAGAAGATGGCTCCTGGATCGTTTCGCTTTGGACAGGCCGGACGAAGGAAAGGATGCAACAGCCTGTTGTTTGTCATCTTTTTAAAGGGGGGGTAGGCCGTAGAGATATGCCCTTGTTAGTAGCGATGCCATGCAACCCTTTGTTCACGATTGTTCACTGCTTTGGAACGAATTCCGGGTGCGAACGTTGAATTTCGCCGGGGCGACGCTTTGTCATTCAGGATGCGCCGCCAAAAGCCTGAGGCAATGTGAGCACAGGGGAAAGGGTGCAAAGTGCAGAGCTTAGACCTTTGGAGGCCATCGCTAGTAGATTGGAGGCCATTTTCTTTTACTTTGTTCTTTTCTTTGGACCTTTGGACCTTTCTTAAAGCTCCAAACCTGCTTGGAAGCTGCCCAACACCAGAGGTGGGCAAGGGGCCTGCCCGATTGCTCGCAATCGGCTCAAAGGGCAACAGTTAATGAGCAAGCTGTGCACTAGTGGCGTCCTTGCTCCTAGTAGCGATGCCCTTTGTTACTGGTAGCGTCCTTGCTCCTAGTAATAAGGCCAGGAGCCCCTAGTAGCGTCCTTGTTCCTAGCTGTGCACTGTACCATGTCAAACGAAAGATCATAGCCCTGTCGCTTGAACGTCACAAAGTTCACAAAGTTGCGGGTGGAAAAGCCACAAGTGATTCGTGAAAATCCCTTCTGATCTGGGATGTTACGGTTGTCCAAGTTGGCAGAAAAGGAGCAGAAATTCTCCCAACGCTGGTAGGTGGAGGCCATTGCTTCTAGGTTGGAGGCCATCCCTAGATATGTCTCTTCTTGGATGCTGCGCGTCCTGCGCGTCCGCACCTCGCAGCCAGGTGCCGCGGCACAGGCAGATGCTCGAGGTCCGTGAAGAACGTGGCGTTGGTCGCCACGGGCACCAGCGCGCACGGCAGTACCACCCACCTGATTCATTTCGCCATATTATCATATGTGTTCCATCAGGTTGGAGGCCATCGCTGGTTGATCAGGTGACACCTGGTAGTTTCATGAACCAACATCTAGGCATTCGATTGGCCTTAAGCAGGTCAATTGGATGCATCTATCAGGTCAACGCACCAGTGAACTAAGCGCTGAAATTGTTCGACTCAAAATACCAGCGAACATTCACCTCGCTTCAGGCAAATATGACGAGACACGAACGGAGTACAGTGCATAACTCGAAGGGTATAACTCGAAGGTCTCTTCAACGACTACCGGGGAACGAAAAGATCTTGTCGCCAAATCGTTCCATGGAGTCCATGGAGCAAGCCCCTACCGACCTGTGTTTTTGAAACATGAGGGAAGAACCCATCGCAAATTTGCGGGAAAACCAATCACCATCACCACAGGACACTTCAATCCTAGTAGCTTCTTGCTCATAGTAGTAAGGCCAGGAGCCCCTAGTAGCGTCCTTGTTTCCTAGTAGCGATGCCAGGAGCCTCCTTGCTCCTAGGTATTCTTGCAGCGAACACAAGCAGTTGTGAGACAAAATCCTACGCCCTTTAAGCCCTCTAGGCCCTAGGTCATGCGACAGGTACAGCAGGAATGATGGGATGTGCTATTAACATCTCGATTGTCGTCCCGATGAACAAACTGTATTATAGTAGGTCCTAATTCTTTCCTGTTACATCTCGACTATCTATCTTAAAGACTCTTTGGATCTTTCTTTACTAGTAGGTTGGACATCACTATTGGGGTGGAGGCCATCGCTATTGGGTTGGAGGCCATTGCGATTAGGCTGGAGGCCATTGCTAGTAGTTTGGAAGTAGGTTGGAGGCCATCGCTAGTACGTTGGAGGCCATCGCTAGTACGTTGGAGACCATCGCTAGTAGGTTGGGGGCCATTCCAATTAATTGTGCTTCTATGATTTTTAATGTGGTTTGCTCTAATGTGTTTTAATGAAATTAGGTCCGAAATGCCTAACGA